TCACCCAGGCTAGAGTGCAGTGGCGCTATCTTGGCTCACTGCAACCTCTACCTCCCAGGTTCAAGCCATTCTTCTGCCTCAGCCTCCCAAGTAGCTGGGACTACAGGTGCCTGCCACCACACCCAGCTAATTTTTTTTTTTTTTTGTATTTTTAGTAGAGACGGGGTTTCGGTATGTTGGTCAGGCTGGTCTTGAACTCCTGACCTTGTGATCCACCCACCTCAGCCTCCCAAAGTGCTGGGATTACAGGTGTAAGCCACCACACCCAGCCACTCTGCTATCTTTTTTGTGCAAAATTTCCCACCTGTTTTATATTTTTTTCTCTCCTTTCTTGCCATGTTTTATGTTGAGTATTTTAATCATGCCATATTTTATTTTATTTTATTTATTTTTGAGACAGAGTCTCGCTCTGTTGCTCAGGCTGGAGTGCAATGGTGTGATCTTGGCTTACTGCAAACTCTGCCTCCCAGGTTCAAGCAATTCTCCTGCCTCAGCCTCCCAAGGAGCTGGGATTATTGGCACCCGCCACCACGCCTAGCTAATTTTTTTTTTTTTTTGTATTTTTAGTAGAGATGGGGTTTCACCATGTTGGCCAGGCTGGTCTCAAACTCCTGACCTCAGGTGATCCACCTGCCTCAGCCTCCCAAAGGGTTGGAATTGCAGGCATGAGCCACTGTGCCCGGCCAATCATGCCGTATTATCCCCTCTATCAGTGTAGAATATGGACACTGTTTCTATTCTTTTGGTGATTACCCTAGACCTCGGGTCCCCAACCCCTGGGGCTGCAGACCAGTACTGGTCTGTGGCCTCATAGCAGGCAGGAAGCAGCAGGAGAGTGAGCATTACCACCTGAGTCTGCCTCCTGTCAGATCAGTGGTGGTATTTGACTCTAATAGGAGCACAAACCCTATTGTGAACTGCGCATGTGAGGGATCTAGGCTGTACGCTCCTTATGAGACTAACTAATACCTGATGATGTAAGGTGGAACAGTTTCATCCGCAAACCATTCCCGCACTCCTACCCCAGTCCATGGAAAAATTGTCTTCTATGAAACTGGTCCTTGCTACCAAAAAGGTTGGGGACCACTGCCCTAGACAATACAATATATACTTTTAACTTATTAATATTCACTAGCAAGTTCATTTATACCTTTACCCTTCTCCTGGGAAATGTAATGACCTTGGAACACTTCAACATGATTTATCCTCTCTCAATGTATATTATTATTGTGAGTTTTAATTCTATAGACTTTTTACACTATTTCATAAGGCAATATATATTATTTCTTTATATTTCATTTGCCCTTCTTTCCTTCTTGCATCTCTGATCTTACGTTTCCCTCTGACTTGAAGTTGATCTGTTAGCATCTCTTTTAGTATGGGTCTGCTATTTATTATGTATTTACCTGAATTGTCTTTATTTTGCCTTCCATAGTAAAGGGTATTTTATCTAGATATAAGACTTTATGTTGGCAGTTGTTTTCTTTTAGCACATTGAAAATATGATTCCACTGTTTTCTAGCTTTCATTGTTGTATATGAGAAGTCAGCTGTCAGTCTACTTGCAATGCCCCTAATGGTAATCTGTTTTTTTCTTTTTAAGATTGTCTCCTTGTGAATAATTTGTGCAGCAGCAATAGAAAAAGAAAAAAAATTAAGAATGTCTCCTTGTCATTGACCTTGTGCATTTCCAACATTTGTCTGATGTAGCTTTGTTTTTATTTTTCTAGCTAGTGAATCACTGTGATTCACTCTGTGTTCTGCATATGGCTTGATGTCTTTCATCAGTTCTGGACTCACCATTGCCTTTGTGTCTCCTTTCCTTCTGGTGCTCCAAGTTGTGCATTTGTTTGGTCATCTTACTGTTCTCCATTATGTCTCATCCTTTCTTCTGTATTCTCCATCTTTTTGTGTCTTTTAAAATTTTGGATAGTTTCTTCTGACCTTTTAGTTTCAGTTCATAATTCTTTCTTAATGCATCAAATCCACTCTTCAATCTATCCAGTTCTTAATTTCTGTTATTTAGTTACTTATATCCTATTCATTTGGTTCTTTAAAATGTCTTTTGATTAAATAATTTACATTCCTGTTTAATTTTTTTTATCCTAATCTTTTTCTCTCAATTTTTGCATTGTGGTAAAACACATAACAAAATTTAATATCATAGCCATTTTTAAATGTATGGTTCAATGATTAAAGTACATTCACATTATTGTGTAATCATTACCACCATCCACCCACAGAATTGTTTTCATCTTTCAAAATTGAAGCTCTAATCCCATTAAATAGTAAGTCCCCATTCCCCTCTTCCTTCAACACCTGGAAACCATCTTTCTACTTTCTCTGTCTATGAATTTGACTCCTCTAGGTACCTCATATAGGTGGAATCATATGGTATTTGTCTTTCTGACTGGCTTATTTTACTTAGCATAATGTCTTTAAGGTTCAACCATGTTGTAGCCTATGACAGATTTCCTTACCTTTTTTTTTTTTTTTTTTTTAAAGACAGGGTCTCACTCTGTCACCCAGGCTGGAGTGTGGAGTGCAGTGGCATGATCTCGGCTTACTGCAACCTCCATCTCCCAGGTTCAAGTGATTCTTGTGCTTCAGCCTCCTGAGTAACTGGGATTACAGGTATGTGCCACCATGCCCAGCTAATTTTTGTATTTTTAGTAGAGACAGAGTTTTGCCATGTTGGCTAGGCTGGTCTTGAACTCCTGACCTCAGGTGATCCACCTGCCTCCGCCTCCAAAAGTGTTGGGATTACAGGCATGAGTCATTGTGCCTGGCCAGGATTTCCTTACTTTTTAAGGCTAAGTAATATTCGATTGTATGGATGTGCTACATTTTATTTAGCCATTCATCCTCAGTGGACACTCAGGTTCCTGCCCGCTGTTAGCTATTGTGAATAATAACGCTATGAACATATGTGTACAAATACAAATCCCTTCAAGACCCTGCTTTTGATTCTTTTGGTTATAGACCCAGAAGTGGAATTGCTGGGTCATATGGTAATTCTGTTTTTAATTTTGAGGAACCACTACATTGTTTTTCACAGCAGTTGTACCATTTTCCATTCTCACCAACAGTGCACAGGGGTTCCAATTTCTCCACGTCTTCACCAACACTTGTTACTTTCCTAGGTTTGTTTTTTTAATAGCAGTGATGTTGGACATCTTTCCATGTGCTTATTGGTCATTTGTGTATCTTCTTTGGAGAAATGTCTGTTCAAGTCCTTTCTCATTTTTGAAACAAGGTTTTTTTGTTGTTGAGTTTCAGGAGTTCTCTCTAAGGATATTAATCCTTTATCAGATATATGATTTGCAAATATTTTCTGTTATTCTGTTTTCAGATTGCCTTTTTACTCTGTTAATAGTATATTTTGATGCACAAAAGTTTTTAATTTTCATGAAGTCCAATTTCTCTGTCTTTTCTTTTGTTGCCTGTGCCTTTGGTGTAATATCCAAGAAATCATTTCCAAATCCAACGTCATGAAGCTTTTGCCCTATTGTTTCTTCTAAGAGTTTTACAGTCTTAGCTCTTATGTTTAGGTTTTGGCTCTATATTGAGTTAATTTTTGTATATGGTGTGAGGTAAGGGTCCAGCTTCATCCTTTTGCATGTGGATGTCCAGTTTTCCCAGCACCATTTGTTAAAAAGACTGTCCTTTCCTCACTGGAATGGTCTTGGCACCCTCGTGAAAATCATTTGATTATTTATCAAAGGCTTATTTCTGGGTTCTGTTTTATTCCATCAGTCTGTACATCTGTCTTTATGCCAGTACCACACTGATTACTGGAGATTTGTAGTAAGTTTTGAAATCTGTACGTGTAAGTCCTCCAATATCGTACTTCCTTTCCAAGATTGTTTTGACTATTCTCCTGATAAAATTCTAAAGTTTGCATTGATCTCTTTGAACCTAGTTATTTTAATTCCAGTATCTGCGGTTTCTCTCGTTTCTGTCTATTTCTCTTGGTAGTATCATGCTTCCTTGGGTAGCTGATTATCTTTGACTGTGTCCTGGATTGTGTATTTGAAAAATTATTTGCAGGAATAACTTGAGGCCTAAGATGATGCCATCTTCCTCTAGAGAGGGTTTTCCTTTGCCTCTGTGTAGAAGGCAGGGGCACTGCCACTCTGGGACCCCCTTATTGCCCGTTCCAGGCTTCACCCAAAGGGGAAGTCCAGAGGGTCTTTTCTAAAAGCATGGTTCTGGTTACATTCTTGCCAGTAGCAAATAATGACAGCATAGAGCTGACCACTGTGATCAGCGGCGCAGTCACCTGGGCCCAGCACCCTGTGAGGTCAGAGCCAGTGCTCTCGTCAGCTCGAGCTGCTGTGGTAAAATGCCTTAGACTGAGTGGTTTGTGAGCAACAGAAATGTAGTTTGCACAGCTCTCGAGGCTGGGAAGTCCAAGATCAAGGCACTGTCATCAGCCTCAGTGACTGGTGAGGGCCCACTTCCTGGGCCATAGATGGCGTCTTCTTATGTATCCTCCCATGGCAGAAGGCAGCTCTCTGGGGCTTCTTTTACTAGGGCACTCATCCCATTCACCAGGGCTCTACCTTTATTGCCTAATCACCTCCCAGAGTCCCCACCTGCTAACACCATCTCTTTGGGAGTTAGAATCTCAACATAGGAATTTGGGGGGACACAAACATTCCAGCCATAGCCCCTTCTGGTAAGTAAGAAAACCAGAGCACAGGGAGGTCAGCAGCTGAGCTGCGTCATGGATGGATGCACAGCCAGTGGCATGAGTGTGGGGCCAGGATTGAAGCATGTGCATCTCACTGCAGAGGTGCTGCTCAGAAACCTTTTGGGGCTCCCCACTGCCTGGAGGCCAAGCACAGGCTCCCCCACTTGGCCACTGCAGCCCTTCTAGCCTCCCCAGCCATGCTGGCCCCTGGCCATCCCACCTCCTCTGTAGTGGGGGCACCCCTCCCCTAAGCTCACCTTGTGTGACCCCTGCTCACCCTTTCAGGCTTAGCTCAGATACTGGGGCTCCGCCTGGCCTCCTGAGGCCCCAGCTGGAGCAGAGCTGAGGAGCAGTAGCTGCTGGGCAGGCCCGAGTGCCCCACTGACTGAGGCCAGGACCCAAAGCAGGGCTTTCCTACCCCCACAGCAGCCAACCAGGGCTGGGCACTCCGCAGGGCATCAGGTACTGCATGCAGGTCAGAGCCTGTGCCCTGAGCACACAGTATGACAGGAGGGGGTGGAACAGGTCATGCTGGACCCATCTCAGGGACAGGGGACTGTCAGGCCACCCTGGGGATGCCCTGCCCAAGACTGGCTTCCCCTCAGAGGATGCCTGGTAGCAGGGGCTAGGGAGGCTGCTGGACCCACCCGCTTGCCCACAGCCCCCAGTCAATCCCCGCTCTGGCTTTCTGCCTCCCAGGTGAACAACAACGGAATCATCTCCTTCTTGAAGGAGGTTTCTCAGTTCACCCCAGTGGCCTTCCCCATTGCCAAGGACCGCTGCGTGGTGGCAGCCTTCTGGGCAGATGTGGACAACCGGCGTGCAGGCGATGTGTACTACCGGGAGGCCACCGACCCAGCCACGCTGCGCCGAGCCACGGAGGATGTCAGACACTACTTCCCCGAGCTCCTGGACTTCAATGCCACCTGGGTTTTTGTTGCCACCTGGTACCGAGTGACCTTCTTTGGAGGCAGTTCCTCATCCCCTGTGAGTCCAGGCACTTGTCCTTGCGGGGGGAAGGGGTGGTGTGTGTGGCTAGGGCCCAGGGTCTCCCCACACCAGGGCCCCCACTTGCTAATGTGGGTGTGGTACAGTCACTGGTCCATATCTAAGAGGGGAACATGTGGTCAAAACCACAGAGACAGGTAAGAAGAGGACACGGCCCCCACCTTCTCCAGTGCTCCTGAAAGCCACTTGCCTCCAGGAAACACCAAATTCCCCAAAGCAGCAGCTCACGCATCAGAGAGAGGCATGTGGGTTGATAGGTGTTAGGAGGATTTCCATTTGGAATGGCCCAGTACTCAAAAGGTTAAACCGGAAGGTTACTCTGTTTTTTTTGTTTTGTTTTGTTTTATTTTGTTTTGTTTTATTATTATTATACTTTAAGGTTATTCTGTTTTATACTCTTCCTTGATAATGCCAAACATGACAGAAACGTTGACTCAAGAATAATCAGCCGCTTTGCAGGCCTGATGAGTTCTGGTGGGCTGACACTCCCTAACAAGGACAGCTGCCCACTCCGGTGGCAGATGTATTTACTCAGCACCTACTGTGGCGAGGCCTGCACTGGGCACTGGATCATGGCTGTGCAAGACAGACAGTGACTCCCTAGAAAAGAGGCACTGGGTGCAGAGCTGCCATTTTCAGAGCTGTTTGTTCATGCATTTAATAAACACTTTTTTTTTTTTTTTGATGCAGTCTTGCTCTGTTGCCCAGGCTGGAGGGCAATAGCACGATCTCGGCTTACTGCAACCTCCGCCTCCCAGGTTCAAGCGATTCTCCTGCCTCAGCCTCCCGAGTAGCTAGGATTACAGGCATGCTTTTCTATTTTTAGTAGAGAGGGGGTTTCCCCATATTGGCCAGGCTGGTCTCGAACTCCTGACCTCAGGTGATCCGCCCACCTCGGCCTCCTAATAAACACTTTTTAAGGGCACCTTCCAAATGACAGGCAAGTGTTCTAGGCACTGGGCAGACAGCCCTGGATGAAGCAGACAGGACGCATCTGCCCCATGGGGTCACTCCAGCCAGGCATCAGGAAGTGCTCAGAAGCATAACCCAGCCAGCGGCGCTTCCAGGAGCAGGTTCATTGGCAGAAAATGGACAGTTCAGCTTCATGCATCTCCTCATTGCGCCTCTCCGGCTCCCAGAGCCCCACCATGGGCCCTTACTGGCTCTAGTCCGCCCTGTCCCCTAGACGGTGCCACCACCCCAATTCTGCAGCCCTCACGTCTTCGTTTGTTTTCCGAGTGATAGCATTTATGTTCACTTTCCTAAAGCAGAGCACGTAGTTTCTCTAATGTTGACTTTTACATAAGTGGCATGTACACTGTATAATCACCCATCTTTCTCAGTGACTACAAACTAGCCCAGCACCAGGCGGCATGCGAATTTGTTTCACCTGCACCCCATGGCTGGACAGCTGCAATACCAGGGGCCTGAGGTGGGCACGGCATAGCTCAGGTCAGCTTATTCATGATCCTGTCTGGTACACGTGTTTAGAAGGGCGATTGTCACCTGCAGAATTCCAATTTTCCTCTCAAAACTGTACACATTCAGGCCGGGTGTGGTAGCTCACGCCTGTAATCCCAGCACTTTGGAAGGCCAGGTCAGACGGATCACCTGAGGTCAGGAGTTTGAGACCAGCCTGGCCAACATGGCGAACTCCCCTGTCTACTAAAAATACCAAAATCAGCCGGGCGTGATGGCAGGTGCCTGTAATCCCAGCTACTGGGGAGGCTGAGGCAGGAGAATTGCTTGAACCTGGGAGGCAGAGGTTGCAGTGAGCTGAGATCGCGACCACTGCACTCCAGCCTTGGTGACAGAGGGAGATTCCATCTCAAAGAAAAAAAAAAAAGAATCGTATACACATTCAATACTGCTGAGGACCCACATTTGAGAGCGCCGTTTCCTTGGCACCCCAGCCGTGTTGCCGTTTTTACCAGCTTTGTCAGCTCTATAGACAAAACAATGAGTGCTACTTTTTAACTTACACATCTTTAATTTCTAGTGGGCTGAATGTGTTCTAATATTCTTGGTTACTTATATTCTACTGTGATGTGTCTGTTCATACCCTCTGACATTTTTTCTGTGATACTTTTTCTTATTGATCTGTAGTTCTTGAACTAAGGGTCTGGAAAGTTTTATCTGCCCTATGTGTTATAAATACGTTTTTCACATTACTGTTTGCCATTCAGTTTGATCTTGTGGATTTTTTTAAATATTCAGAAGCCCTTTGCAGTCAAATGTATAATTCTCCCTTTTGGTTTTTGCTGTGAACAAACATCACACTTAAAAAGTCCTTTCCGTTTCCTGAGTTATACATATTCGCCTGCATTTTCTTCTAGGACTTTTCTTTCACTTTAAACCCTTATTGGATTTGGGATTTCTTTTCGTGTGTGGTGAAAGGCAGGACTCTGATCTGATTCTTTTTCAGGGGGTTTCCTGTTTGTCCCAAGATCATTTCTTAAACAGTCTTGATGCTTTGCTCGATTCTCATCTGGCGCCTCTCATCTGTACGCTGCCCACCGATATTTCCATGCAGTAGAATTCTGTGAAAACCATGAGGCCTATTAAACGCTGCAGCATGGCTCTTCCTTGGTTCTTTTTACCTTCCCTCTTTTCCTTTTTATAATTTTGCTCATTTCACACAGGAGATTGTGTAGATCTGGCTAAGGGCAGGGGACAAGGTCTGCTCCCATCTGTGGGCCCCACACCCGCCCCGGGTGCTTCACTCACCCCAGCAACAGTTGTGGGTTGGGAACGGCCTCTGCTGAGTGGCAGGCTCTGGGAGACAGCAGAGGATGAGGCCACCAAGGTCCTGCCTTGGCTGCTCGTTCAGCTAGAAGACACAGACATTGAGCAAGCCAGAGGCCCAGTGGACAATGACAGTGTGCCAGGATGGTGGACAGGGCAGGGCTTCCGTGGGCCAAGGGGAATGCAGGGCCCTGTTCAGCCCCCTCTCCTCGGCAGGTCAACACATTCCAGACTGTGCTCATCACAGACGGCAAGCTCTCCTTCACCATCTTCAACTATGAGTCCATCGTGTGGACCACAGGCACACACGCCAGCAGCGGGGGCAACGCCACTGGCCTGGGGGGCATTGCAGCCCAGGTAGGCGAGTGCAGTGGGTGCTCTGTGTTCGGGACCCCTGCTCCCCACAGCCAGGACTGTCATGAGCTGATGAGGTAGACAGGGGCCCACCATAGGCAGACCCCCCGTACCATGCAGAGGTCATCCATGACCATCCCTGAGGCCTCTCGCTGCCGGAAAACAAAGAAACATCCTCAGGCCTGAAGGCATCTTTGTCCCATTGCCCTGCCCGCCCCGCCCCTGCAGTCCCCTTGAACAGCTGTGGCAGCAACAGAAATGTCCTCTGCTCCTTGTGCCCTGCAGTCTGGCCTAGCCAGTGACCCGAGGGACCACAGCTGACAGGAAACCCCGGGTGTGGAGGGAATGAAACAGAACAATGGCCACAGGGTCAGTGCTCCCCAGGCCCGAGTGCCTTTGGGCTGTGCGCACCCCTGCTCACCTCCGGGCCACCTGCTTCCTCTGGGGTCATACTTGCCCCTGGCCCCAGGGGAGGCCCAGGAGCCCAGAGGTGAGCTGCTGGAGGACTGGGCTGGGGAGCCAGGGCCAACCCTCTCCTTGGCTCCCAGGAACGGTTGGCTGAGGTCAGGACTTGGCTGGGAGGTTGCCGACCCTGGCAGGAACATGGTGGGGGCAGGGAAACCCCTCCCTCTGTAGACCTGGGGAACTGGCCTCCCTCACTCTGCCCCCACCCCACCCCCAGGCTGGCTTCAATGCGGGTGATGGGCAGCGTTACTTCAGTATCCCCGGCTCACGCACGGCAGACATGGCCGAAGTGGAGACCACCACCAACGTGGGTGTGCCCGGGCGCTGGGCGTTCAGAATCGATGATGCCCAGGTGCGCGTGGGGGGCTGCGGCCATACAAGTAAGAGGACAGAGGAGCAGCTTGGGGTGGGAGCGGGCTGAGGAAGGGGACTGATGGCAAAGGAGAGGTGGAGAGGAAGGGGGCTGGATGCTGACCGGGAGAGTAGGGGGACTTGGGTCTCCAGCCCAGCCCGTCTCAGGCATGTGAAACTAAGGAAGGCCTGTCTGGTCCTGGAGCCTCTGCTTCCCCTAGAGAAGACCCCCCACACACACTGCTCTGGGTTGGAGGGAACTCTGGAGACTGCGGGTTTCAGGGGTAAAGAGTTGTGGGTCCTCAGGGGAGGAGGAGCCCAGGGACGCCTCTCCCTGGGACCATGAGGTCTGTACTCTCCCCTCATTCCCACCCGGCCTCCTGCCTGGGCTGGGGGAGGAGAAGCATGTGGTCTCTGACCCTCAGGGCCACCCATGGGCAGGTCCTCTTATCGCCCAGGTCCTTATTTCTGCCAGCAGGCTTGCTGCTTGGTGGGGTTTGGTGTCTGCTTGACAAACCCAAGCATCACATCTACAGGGGAGTTCCAGGAGTCCTTCCAGCCCAGAGTGCACAAATGGACAGGGTGGGTGTCCCTCCCAGGGGTGGGCACGTGGTCTGTGGGAACAGCCAGGGTGGCAGCAGAGCTGTGGATCGTAGCCCCAGCCCTGCTGCTGTGCGGCCTCAGGAGCCAAGGAGCCTTCGAAATCACTGTTTACACATGGGGCCAGGGCAAGCAACTGATCCGCTCCAAGGGGGCTGCGCCTCACAAGCCCTGCCAAGCCTTGGGCCACAGTAAGGCTCGCGCTGGAACCTGCCCCAGACTCACCTCCCAGCCGCCAGCATCTAGGCTACCGAGAGGGGAGAGGGGCTGCTTCTCCACAACACTGAGTCCCCAGAGGACACGACGGGGGTAGCAGATGTGGGCGCACCAATGTCAGGGCGGAGGCGGGGTGCAGGCACCCCACGGGGTGAGGGGTGAGGGGTAGAGAGTGTGGGGGCGGGGGTGTGGGGTGCAGGTGCGCCACAGGGTTGGGAGTGAGGGGTAGAGGGTGTGGGAGTTGGGGGTGTACCACGGAGTGGGGGGTGCAGGTGTGCCACGGGGTTGGAGGTGGGGCGTAGTAGGGGTGGGGGCTGGAGGCACGTCACGGGGACGGGCTGGGGGGTAGAGGCGCGCCACGCAGTGGGGAGAGCACCGCGCGCATCGTGGGAAGAGGAAAGATGCAGGCGCGGGCGGGAAGAGCCATCTGAGGGCTGCAGGTGGCGCCGCAGCGGAGACCCGAGGAGCCCGAGCTACCCGCACACGAGGGCGCGAACAGGCCCCGCCTGCATCTGAGCTTAGGGAGTCGGGCTGAAGGGGCGGGGAGCCCAGGAGCTGCCACCGCCGGCCCCAGAGCGGGACAGAGCCCTCCTGCAGCCCCTGGCCGCACGCCCTGCGTGGCCTGCCTTGTCCCAGAAACGTCGACCGTGACGGCTGAGCGCCAGCCGCAGGTTTTCCAGGCCAGGAACCCGGGAGGGGCGCCAGGAGCGCTGGGAGGGATGGAGGGAGCAGGAGGGTGCTGGTGGGAGTCGCTCCAGGGAGTCCGCCCCACACGAAGCCACATTCCCGGAGGCCACGCCGACAACACTAGCACTGCCCCTGCTCCCCTGCTCCGGCCTAAAGTGAAACCTGAAACCTGGCTGCTTTGCTGCGGTCACCCAGACACCCAGAGGCCAACCTTCTGGGTCAGGGGAGGGAAGGGAGATGCGGATGGGAGTGGTTCTCCTGCAGAGTCGGAAGCGGCGGCTGAGGCTCCAGCCCCTCCCTGTGTCTGCAGCCTCCGTGTGCCTGACCCTGCGCCCCTGCCTCAACGGTGGCAAGTGCATCGACGACTGTGTCACGGGCAACCCCTCCTACACCTGCTCCTGCCTCTCGGGCTTCACGGGGCGGAGGTGCCACCTGGGTGAGTGGCTGTGCTGGGCTCAGGAGGAACGCTGTAGGCTCCGCCAGCGGCCGTGAGCGCCCAGGGTTCTCTGTCCCCAGGGTGTGGGTGACTTGCTTAGGGGACCGCTGGGGAGCAAACGCCATGGTCCCCTGGGGTGAGCACCACAGGCGCGTGCAGTTGCTGCCCTCTCTGAGCCAATCTCGGGCTTGCTCCTCCGTCCCTGGCCCAACCCGAGGCCTTGGAGGAAACTCCTCAACCGGGTTCCTGCCGCTGAGGCCTCAGCCTGCCCATGTTTCAGACGTGAACGAATGTGCCTCCCAGCCCTGTCAGAACGGCGGGACCTGCACTCACGGCATCAACAGCTTCCGCTGCCAGTGCCCGGCCGGCTTTGGGGGACCCACCTGTGAGACAGGTAAGAGGAACCCACGGGGGCCCCCGTGGCCCTGCTGGGTGCAGATAGCGGAAGACACAGCTGGACAAGGCTGAGGTCTAGGAAGGTCCGGCAGCTGCGTGTGCTGCAAGGCGGACAGCCCAGAGAGGCCACCCTCGGGGAGTGGAGGAGCCCAGATGCCCAGGGAAAGGCCCATATCTGGGTGGGGGGCAGGAGCCATGACCAGTCACACAGGCTTCCTAGGCCATGGCATTTGGACCAGGTATGAGACCTCAGAACAGGCCAGTGCCCAGGTCCCAAACCAGGCCAGGGTCAGGGCCAGACAGGCACCAGGGCCTGGATGAGAACCCGTCAGGGAGTGTGGGGGGGCCGTCAGACCCCCTCTCAGCCCAGGACCAGCTTGAGGGGAACGTGCAGTGCTTTTGGGGTCAGATGGGCTGGCCGTGGGGCGGGAAGGGCACAGCCACACGGTCCCTGCCGCTCCCTCCAGCTGCTCCTGGATGCTGTTTCTCTCCTGCCCCCGCCTTTAGGGAAAGGGGGTCTCACAGCCTAGGTGGGGCCTAGAGTCCCTCTCCACCCTCACTGCTGCTTCCAAACCTCTGCTTGCCCTCCCAGTTCAGAGCCCAGCTCTTTTGAAGCAGCTGTCATCAGAGTCGGCCTCTACTTACTGCCCTTCTGCCAGCACCTCTTTGGACCCCTCACCCATGCCCTTCACCCACCTGGTAAAGAAAGGTGGACACCCCGCCCCCATTCCTGCTCTCCGCCTCACCATAGGGCTCTGCTCAGGGAGCTTTGCAAAGGGAGCCCCTAAAATCAAAGCACTGTGACCTGCTGCTTCCCACCCAGCTCAGCCAGGTGTGCATGTCCTGTGTGACAATCGCTTATAAAAACATGTAATAGATTGTTTAGATCAGTGTGTTCAAATAGTGACTATATCAATATCTCAGTCTAGAAAAAACAATCCTTATCAGATATTTATGGTCATGGGAAGTTTTTTAAAGTATTTCATTCCAGCGTTTACACATATTTGTACTGGAGAGAACTATAGTTGAGTGGCAGTAAGGGACTTTTGCACCTAAAAGTACATTAGAATCAAATTCTGCAGGAATGCAATGGAAACGTGACTTCAAGGTCCAAAGGAGCAAAGCACAATTCCCACCCGGCGAGATGGGCTTGCCAGTGTGTTTACAGATCACACATGGGTGACAACACAGTGACCCCAGTTATCCCTTGCTCCCCGGCCCCTGCCACTGTCTTCCCATAGCCACTGTTGGAGCAAGCTCCATGCAAAGGAGCCTTTCTTCATCCAGAAACTCCTGCCCTGCTTGCCCACGTGTTCTTGACATGAGACGGGTGGGAGTCAGGCTTCTGTGGTGTTGGTGCCATGGCAGACTCAGCCCTGCAGGCTTCTGTCCCCTTGGTAAAGGCCAGGGAGGCCGGCAGGGTCTCCTTCCTCTCGCTCAGTGCTCTCCCTGTGCGGTGCTGGCCGGGGACCTAGCTGCGGGAGGACCCAGGCCTATGATGAGGGTCCCCAAGGGTGACTGGGCAGAGCTTCTCAGGAACGGGCTGCTCCTTGGCTATGCCCCAGGCTCCAGGAGCCCCTCTGTGATGTACAGCCTGGTGAGGTCCCCTAAGAGGGCTTGGGGCTTGGTGCCAGGAGGCTGGTTCAGGTCTTGGCTCTGCAGCATGTCAGTTGTGTACATGGCCTTGAGCCCTGAGCCTTGGCTTTCAGTGCAGCTGTGGCACAAGCCTTGGGTACAAGCCTTCCCCCCGCCACCCCCCCCAGAGGCTCCCCGGTCTCAGAAGCCACCTTGGCCCCCAGAGCTCATAACAGCAGGGGCACCCACAACTACAGGCAAGGGCGTACGTTCTGCTCCACCTACTGGAGTTGGGGTCAGGGAGACAGGGATCACCATGTCCCATCAGCCACCTAAGGGCTTTCACACCTCCTGGGGGAGTGGTCAGGCCCTCCTGTCTCTTTCCTGTGCCGAGGAGAGGGCCCCACCATTCCCCCATGACTCCAGGGAGGGACACACGTTCTGGCTATCACTCCGGTTTCTGAGTTTGTTTGGGTATGAGCTGTCAGTAAGACAGGGGATGTGGCTACCCCCTGCTTCTGGCTCTGCTGCCTGGGGGCAAAGGAGAGACCTGGGATGCCTGGGCCAGGTGCTCTGGGCTCAAGGAGGGTCAGCATCTGATAAGGAGGCAGGGCAGAGGGTGGGCTCTCCTAGCTCACTCCCACTCAGTAACGGGGGACCAGAGTCCCTTTGCCCTAGCTGTTCCTGCACAGGCCATTGCCTGCCCCACCCAGCCTCTCACCCCAGGGGCCACTCCTACACCGTGGGTGCTGCACACCCTTCCAGGCTCAGTCACAGCCTGCATCCTCGACAACAGCTCGTCACAGTCCGCTTGGAATAAGAGCCACCTAGGGAGGGACTGTCCCCCCAAGAGTGGGAGTGGGTTCCGTGCACTCCCATTTGCCCCTGCCCAGTATATACACTCCTCCCTCCATCCCAGGTTTGCTGAATTAGACCTAGTTCAGATGGAGCTTCAGGTGGCCAGTCAGGACTGTCTGGCCAGGCCTGGCCTCTTCCTTGCCTGTTGCCCCCTCAGAAACCTGCCTGCCAGGCCCCCAGCCCTGCAGGCCAGTCGGGGATGGGGCTCAGTGGACGTCCCAGGGGTTTCTGTCCCATCAGGTAACCATAGCTGGGAGTCCATCATCCTGTCTACACCTCTTCACTCTAGCCCAGTCCCCCTGTGACACCAAAGAGTGTCAAAATGGTGGCCAGTGCCAGGTGGAGAACGGCTCTGCGGTGTGTGTGTGCCAGGCTGGATACACTGGAGCAGCTTGCGAGACGGGTGAGTGGCCTGGCTTCGGGTTGGAGAGGGGCTCCTGCCTGTGGCCAGGTGCTGGGCACAGGGTGGTCGTGGCCTGGCTCAAGCAAAGCCCCCACCTCTGCTGCCCCTCAGATGTCGACGACTGCAGCCCTGACCCCTGCCTGAACGGAGGCTCTTGTGTTGACCTAGTGGGGAATTACACCTGCTTGTGTGCAGAGCCCTTCAAGGGACTTCACTGTGAGACAGGTAACTGGCCAAGTGCCTGGAGCCCACCATGGCTGATGGTGGCCTTGTGCCGTGAATACCACCATAGCCACTTTCCCCTTCCTGCCTCGCCATCTGACTCACCTCACACCTGCCTCTGGGGTGGGGGGATGCCTCTGCCCCCTTCCCACTCCCCAGCGCTTCCCGCTCAGCCTGGATCCTCAGCCACCAACTGCAGGGAAAATAGGAAGCAAAAGATGGATGCTGCCTCCAAGGTGCTGTGTGAGGCTGAGCAACCCCTTCCCCTCTCTGGGCCTTGGTTTCCATCTGTGAAGTGCCGGGAGGGATGACAAAGTTCCCAAGGCTCTTCTTCCAGCCTGGGTGACTCTTGACTTTTTCACATCTTCCTTTCCTACTCTAGAACCCTCAGCACACAAGGGAAAGTAATGGGAATCAGAAAGAAAACTGACCTTTCACTATTTTCTATTCTATTTTGTATTGTTTAACTGCTAGTTGTGACTTGTTAGAGGAATTAAAAGGCCAACTGGAGATTACAGCCCACGGTATAAAAATGGCTTTCGTGTCTGATTGTTGCACCTGCCTCCAGAGGCTCACCCGCTGTGCCGACCTCTATGGACACAGCAGGTGCTGCTTCTCTCCAGGGAGATGATAAAGACAAACTATTCAGGTTATTTTTATTTAAAAAATTAAGGAGGGAATTCTGTTTTACCCATAAGACACAGAGGGTCATGGGCCCTCCATCAGTCTTTGCCGAGGGCATGGGAGGCCAGGGTGTGTCCTGAGGGGAGGGTGGTGCTCTGCAGAGCAGGAGCAGGAGGAGGCAGCCTCACCTATTTGGCTGCTTTAAAGTCACTGTTCCATGTCACAGCTCACTTTGCCCGGATTGTTATCTAAATATCAGTGTATTTCCCTAAATTCATGTCAGGAAACAAGGGGTTTCAAAAGATTTTTGCAAATAAACCGTGTTTCGTACAGAATAATAATGCAAGTAGACGTGAATAATAAGAAACAGACTGGCTGGGTGCGGTGGCTCATGCCTGTAATCCCAGCACTTTGGGCACTTTGGGAGGCCAAGGCGGGTGGATCACTTGAGGTCAGGAGTTCAAGAACAGCCTGGCCAACATGGTGAAACCCCATCTGTACTAAAAATACGAAAGTTAGCCAGACGTGGTGGTGCACACCTGTAGTCCCAGCTACTCGGGAGGTTGAGGCTGGAGAATTGCTTGAACCCAGCAGGAGGCAGAGGTTGCAGTGAGCTGAGATCACACCAATGCACTCCAGCCTGGGTGACAGAATGAGTGGAGACTCTGTCTCAAAAAAAAAAAAAGAAGAAGAAGGAAGAAACAACACACTGACACTTGTGCTAATGTAAGGGCTGACTGACTGTATTACAAGGCGCAGATGCTGACAGTCTAATCAGGTCTGACAGGAAGTTGGCCATAAATTGAAGACTACAAGAAAGAGTTTCTAGTCTTCTGCTTCTAGCCAACAAGAATTAACTGCTCTTGGAATTTCCTTCTCACTGTCATCACCTAGAAAAACAGACAAAATTTGTGAAACGCCTTGTTCAGCCATTGGACATCAGACAGCACAAGCCTGTCATCCCCGAGAAAAAGGAATCAAATGAGGTGAGCCCTACAATTGCCCCAGATTCTGCCTGGGGTAGTTTCCAGGCCACTGTGCTGGGAGGAGGAACTGAGAGTCCAGCAGTCCGTCTGAATTGAGGAGACGAAGATCCTAGTTCAGTGGCTACAGGATGGTGCTCCTGAGGCAGGAGGGAACATGAGATCAAGAGGAGACCTCCCTGAATTTTGGCTCAGTATCATCAGGCTCAGGATGAAATCCTCAAGGCTGGGGAAAGAACCACTAGAAAGCAGTAAGTCAGACAGTTCCTGGAGCTCAAACAGGGCTGGTAATCTATTGTGTAGAGTCATCAGTGGGGTGTCACTTTAGTAGTGCTGAAATAAGACTAATGTCGACCTGCCCTAACAAATCTTAAAGAAAGCTTAAAAGGATCAAACTGATCCTAAGTCATTTAGCCATGTGCCAGAATGAAATCCTATATACTCCTTAACAGGAGTATATCAGTAATATAACAGAATCCAGAACTCCAAAATACCCAGTCAAAAATTATCAGGTCTACAAAGAAGTGAAATGTAACTCACAGCCAGGAGAAAAATAGATCAATAGAAACAGGCAATGATAGAATTAGCAGATACAAATGTTTAATTATCTATTACGAATATACTCCTATAATCAAGATTGTTGAGAGGGAAAAAACATAATAAGAAGTAGAAGGTATTTTTTAAAACTTGCAGAGATGAAAAATATATCTGAGTTTTTATTTATTTATTTATTTATTTTGTTTGTTTGTTTTGTTTTTTGAGACGGAATCTTGCTCTGTCGCCCAGGCTGGAGTGCAGTGGCCGGATCTCAGCTCACTGCAAGCTCCGCCTCCCAGGTTCATGCCATTCTCCTGCCTCAGCCTCCCGAGTAGCTGGAACTACAGGCACCCATCACCTCGCCCGACTAATTTTTTTGTATTTTTTAGTAGAGACGGGGTTTCACCGTGTTAGCCAGGCTGGTCTCGATCTCCTGACCTCGTGATCCGCCCGTCTCGGCCTCCCTATCTGAGTTTTTAAAATACACTGAATAGTATTTACAGCAGGTTAGATGCAGAAGGAAAGATCAATGAACCTGAAGAGTGAAACAGAACAATTCAAGATGCATCACAGAGAGAATAAGACTAAAAGAAAAAGAAGAGATCTTCAGCAGCATGCAGAACAGTATTAGGGTAATAGGATCCACGCATCTGGAGTCTGCGAAGGGGGATGGAGATGGGTGTGGAAAGGAGTGCGACAGAAAAAGTATGTGAAGAAATAATACCCAAACGCTTTCCAAATTTGATGAAAACTAAAATCCATATTTCCAAGAAAAGCATGAAGAAAACCACACAAAGTCAAACCATAATCAAATTGCTGAAAACCAATGATGAAAAATCTCAAAAACAGCCAGAGGAAAAAGCCACATTACATACAGAGAAACAAGAATGACAACAGACTTCTCATCAACAACAATGCAAACCAGGAGACACTGGAGTAACACCTTTAAAGTACTGAAAGAAAAAAACCATCAACATACTGTAGTGTATTACCAGCAAAACTACATTTCAAAAGTTAAGCTGAAATAAAGACTTTTTTACACAAACAAAAATGAAGAGTATTCATCACCAGCATACCTGCATTACAAGAAAATGTTAAATGAAATTATTTAGACAGAAGAAAAAAAAAAAACTGGTACCAAGGGAAAATCTGGATCTACGCAAAAGAATGAAGATTGTTAAAAATGATAAATATGTAGGTTGAAGACTTTTTAATCCCTTTAAAGATAATTTTAAAATAAAATAATAAAGCTTATAACATATGCAGAAATAAAATAGATGACTCCAATAACAAAAACCAAGGTGTGCAAACTTTTTCTGTAAAGGGCCAGATAGTAAATACTTCTGGCTTTTTGAGCCGTATGGTCTCTATCACAATTCAACTCTACCATTGTAATGTGAAAGCAGCCAGCCATAGACAATACATAAATGAATAGGTATGGCTGTGTTCCAATAAAACTGTACTTTAAAAAATTGATGGCAGGTAAAATTTGGTCTGTGGGTTATAGTTTACCAACTCCAATGTAAAAGATAGGAAGAAATGGAAGTATAATATTGTAAGGTCCCTATATTATATAAAGTGGTATAATGTTGTTTGAAGGTGGGCTGTGTAAGTAAAAGATACACATTGTAAACCCAAAACAACAAGTGAAAAATAATAATAAAGAATTATAGCCAATAAACCAATTGTGGAGATAGAAATTGAATCCTAAAAATACTCAATCCAGAAGGCAGGAAGAGAGGAAAAAAAGAAAGAAGTGGGACAAGTGAAAACCAAAAGCAAGATGATAGGTTCAATCTAGTCATATTGGTAGTTACATTAAAATTAAAATGAGTAAACATACAAATTAAAAGGCAAAGATTGTCAGATTGAATTGAAAAGCAATACCCAACTATATGCCATCACAAGAACCCACTCTAAGTATAAAGATACAGATAATTGTAAAGTAATAGAATGGGTTTCTGTTCTGAGAAAGATAGAGTAAGCACAGTCTACCCCTGTCTCTCCCTCACTGAATACAGCTACAATCCTGGACAGAATGCATGGAGTAGCTATCAGAGGACTCTGAAAAGTCAATAGTAGCAGGTGGATTGGGGAAGAAGACCAAGCTTTGAAGTGCCACCAAACCAGTGGTGAGTTTACCATTGTTTGTTTTTTGCTTCGGTGTCCCCCCAGCCTGGACTCAAAGCCACCTCAGAACCAGAAGTAAGCCTCCACATGGACAAAAAGAGTGCTCCAGGAGAAGCCCTCTAGTCCAGCTTAAGAAGCAGGGCTGCCAGTGCAGAAGTTGGGGAGTCTTCAAGTGTCTTTACACTGCGAGGGAAGAAACCTTCCTCTCCAGTTGGAGGTGCTGTGGTTTCAAAGGGGTTGGGTATTGTTTTTCCCTTTCCTGTTGTTTTTCCCTTTCTCTGTCATCCCATTACTTGGTCCTAGCCATGAATGCCATCATTATAAAAGTGGCACGGTAAGGAAGTAAAAGCCCCAACATTTTTGCCAGAGGACTGAAAAAGGTAGCCCCAGAAAACTGGAAAGTACTGGGGAAACTGTGGAGGGTGAATCTTGGGACAGCAACTCCATAAAGTTATTTATGAACTCCTGAGCTCCCCTAAGTTGGCAGAATCTGTGTAATCTGATCTAAAATTTTATTGACAATACCATTTATAATTTGACAATACAATTTATAATGGTATGGTCAGTAAACCTCTAAAGTTGAAAGACTTTAGTATAAATCTAATAAAACATTAGAGAATTTGTATGCTGAAAAACTACAAAGTGCTGATGAAAGAAATCAAGATCAAGTAAATGGAGAGACATACCATGTTCATGGATTAGAAGACTCAACATAGTAAATATGGCAGTGCTCTCTAAATTGATTTACAGATTTAACATGATTCCAACAGAGGTCTCAGCAGAATATTTTGTGAATGTAGACAAACTGCTTCTAAAATTTGTATGGAAAGAAAAAGAATTTAGAAAACCAAGACAGTTTTGATGAAGAATGAATTTTGAGGAATCACACTACTGAGTATTAAGATTTACTGTAAAGCCACAGTGATCAATTCAGTGTGACATTGGCAAAGGAGCTGACACATGGATCAATGAAACAGGAGAGGAAATTCAGAATTAAACCCAAACAAATGTGGCCAATTAATTTTTTAAAATGATTTAAATCCAATGGAGAAAGGATAATCTTTTCAACAAATGGGATTGAAACAATTAGATATACATATACATATATATATATATAAAACCTCAACTTAAACCTCACACCTTATACAATGATTAACTCAGAATGGATCATAGACCTAAATGGAAAAACATAAAACTATAATATTTTTAGAAGAAAACATAGGCCAAAAAAAAATCTTTATGACCTGGTCTTAAGCAAAGTATTCTTAGATGATAAGACAGCAAAAGCATGATTCATTTTTAAAAAACAGATAAATTAGACTTCATCAAAATTTAAAACTTTTGCTTTGTGAAAGACACGGTTAACAGAATAAAAAGACAAGCTACAGACCAGGAGAAAACATTTGCAAAACTCATACCCAACAAAGGACTTGTGATCAGAATACATCAAGAATTCTCAAATCTCAACTGCGAGAAAACAAACAACCCAATTTTTAAAATGGACAAAAGACTTGAACGGACACTTGGCCACAAAAGATATATATATGGAGGTGAATAAACGGATGAAAAAATATTCTTGTCATTAATATCAGCCATTAGTGAAATGCAAATAAAAGCCACTACAAGAAATCACAACAAACCCAGTAGAATGTCTAAAAAAAAATACTGACCTGGGGTAAATACAGAGCAACTGGAACTCTCACACATTTTTAGTGGAAATGCAAAATGGTTCAGCCACTCTGAAAACAGTTTGGCAGGTTTTTTTATAAGGTTAAGTATATGCTTGTAATATGACCCAGCAATCCCACTCCTTGGTATTAACTCTAAAGAGATGAAAACTTATGTTCACACACAAATCCATATACAAATGGTTATATTATTTCTATTTATAATCACCAAACTCCAAAACCCAAATACCCTTCTCTGGGTGAATGGATAGACAAATTATGGAACCTCTGTACAGGGGAATACTACTCAGTCATAAAGAGAATCAATTATAGATACATACAACAACTTAGATGGATCTCAGAGGCATTATGCTGAAAGAAGCCAGTCTCAAAGAGTATATCCTGTATGGTTCCATAAATGGCATTCTTCCTAAAACAAAACTATAGTGATGAACAAATCAGTAGTTGCCAGGGACTGAGGGGTAACAGGAGCTCTGCGACTCTGAAGAGATAGACCAAAGAAGCCTTTTAGGGAGATGGAATGTCCTGCATCCTGATTGTGGTGGGGGTTAAACCAATCTATATATGTGTTAAAATTCATAGAGGTGTAGTGAACAAAAGTCAATTTTACTGTATACTAATTTACAGAGACACATTTTGAAAGTATATGAAGAAATTGAACATCTTTTAAAAACCAAAAAGTAGCTGGCGTGGTGGTTCACCCCTGTAATCCCAGCACTTTGGGAGGCCAAGGCGGGCAGATCATGAGGTCAGGAGATCAAGACCATCCTGGTCAACATGGTGAAACCCCGTCTCTACTGAAAATACAAACATTAGCTGGGTGTGGTAGGGCGTGCTTGTAATCCCAGCTACTCGGAAGGCTGAGGCAGGAGAATTGCTTGAACCTGGGAGTTGGAGATTGCAGTGAGCCGAGATTGCGCCACTGCACCCCAGCCTGGCAAGAAAGCGAGACTCTGTCTCAAAATAATAATAATAATAATAACAACAACAACAACAACAATATTAGGTAAACACTAATCAAGATAATGCTGCTGCAGTGGCTACATTAATATCAAATAAATTAAACTTTAGAATAGGGAATACTGCTGGGAATTAGGAGGGATCTTTTATAATGATAAAGGGGTCAATTCATCCAGAAGACATAACTCTAGATATACTTGTACCTATTAACACCTATTCACATGAAGCAAAAGCTGACTGAACTGCAAGGAGAAATAGGTCCATAATTATTGGTGGAGATTCACTCCCCTCTCAGTGGTTCATAGAACATGTCGACAGGACATCTCCTCTGGTGCTTCTCGTTCTGTCCAGTCCTGGGTGGCTTCTCTGGTGCTTCTCGTTCTGTCCAATCCTGGGTGGCTTCTCTGGTGCTTCTTGTTTTGTCCAATCCTGGGTGACTTTTCCGGTGCTTGTTCTGTCCAATCCTGGGTGACTTCTCTGGTGCTTCTCGTTCTGTCCAATCCTGGGTGGTTTCTCTGGTGCTTCTCGTTCTGTCCAATCCTGGGTGACCTCTCTGGTGCTTCTCGTTCTGTCCAATCCTGGGTGACCTCTCTGGTGCTTCTCGTTCTGTCCAATCCTGGGTGGCTTCTCTGGTGCTTCTCGTTCTATCCAATCCTGGGTGGTTTCTCTGGTGCTTCTCGTTTTGTCCAATCCTGGGTGGTTTCTCTGGTGCTTCTTGTTTTGTCCAATCCTGGGTGGTTTCTCTGGTGCTTCTTCTGTCCAATCCTGGGTGGCTTTTCTGGTGCTTCTTGTTCTGTCCAAGGAAGGAGCTGGGAGATACTGAGCTCCACGGGGTGCAGCACGGCTACACATCCATTTCCAGAAATAAGCTTCTGGCTTCAGTTCCACTTGGGAATGAGAACAGAGGTGAAAACCCAAATGTGCCATTGGAGCTGGGCGGGGAGACCACTCTCCCCACGCTCCCTGCGTGGCCACTGGTGACCGCTGTTGTTCTTGCAGGAGACCACCCAGTGCCCGACGCCTGCCTCTCGGCCCCTTGCCACAATGGGGGCACCTGTGTGGATGCAGACCAGGGCTACGTGTGCGAGTGCCCCGAAGGCTTCATGGGCCTGGACTGCAGGCAGAGTGCGTCTGGGCTGCAAGGGCTGCCGTTTTAGGGCTGGGGCAGGAGACCCAGGGAGGGCCCTCCTGTGGGTGCATGCAGGAAACACCCCGAGAAGAAACGTGTGAGTGTGCATACACTGCGGTTTGTATGGGAAGTTGGTCAGGAGCAGGGCAGGGTCTGGAGCGAGGGTGCCATCTTTCTGCGCCCCCACATGGGAGGCTCCTCCCTCTCTCCGTGGCAGGAGTCCCTGATGACTGTGAGTGCCGTAACGGAGGCAGATGCCTGGGCGCCAACACCACCCTCTGCCAGTGCCCCCCGGGATTCTTTGGGCTTCTCTGTGAATTTGGTAGGTGCCCAGGGCACTCTTCCTGCCCTGTCCCTGAGCATCCTCATAATCAGAAAATGAATGGTGGCTTGGGCTGGGGTCCATGGGTCCGGACTGTCCACCATTGGTCCTACCCCCACCCCAGGAGGGCCTGGCCACAAGAGTGCCTGAACCTGTTGGGGCCCCTGGGTCTTGGGAAGCCCCATCCTTGACAAGGACTCGAGGTCTGCCGGAAGACGTGCGGGATATGGGATGGGGCTTCCTCCTTTCTCTCCAGAAATCACAGCCATGCCCTGCAACATGAACACACAGTGCCCAGACGGTGGCTACTGCATGGAGCACGGTGGGAGCTACCTCTGCGTCTGCCACACCGACCACAATGCCAGCCACTGTGAGTAGCGCAGGGACGAGCCTGCTGGGCTGGGGGCCCGAACAGAAGCCAGGGAGAAAGTGGTGGGTGAGGCAGGCGCAGGCCAGAGTCCCTGCTTCCCTTCTGACTCTCAGGAGAGCTGGCACCTGGGGGAGCCTCTCTCAATAGCCTTCCTGTAATATGGGGCTAGACATCTCCTCTGCCCCAGTGGAGTAAGCTCACAGGTGGAAAAGCACTTCTGCAAGTGTACAAGCACCGTGTGGTATCTCCCCTAAGCCCCAACACAAGCTATTAAAATATTTAATGCATACATAATTAGGCACGTGTAATTAAACGTGTCACTACTATATGTTTGTTAGTGTATAGATGGTTAATCGCTTACATCATGTATAATTATATAGAATAATGATGTGATGCTGGCAGTGATGACAGGAAGGCATTTCTGTATCACAGCTCAGTCCTACCTCGTAAAATAGGGAAGGGTGAGTTCTGCTAAAATTGAGAAAAAGAGAAATTCCAGGGAGGGGCCTTAGAGCCCACTCTGAGGAACCAAGATGCCCACAGAGAGTATTTTAAGTGGCCTTGGTTCCAGACAGGATGTCAGGGTAACCCTGGCAGGCAAGGTGGCCCACCAGCCTCTTGCTGCCTGCACGGATGCGGCATAAGCTCCAGGACCACCCTCTGCCCCCCGCCCCCAGCCCTGCCATCACCCTGCGACTCGGACCCCTGCTTCAACGGAGGCTCCTGCGATGCCCATGATGACTCCTACATCTGCGAGTGCCCGCGCGGTTTCCACGGCAAGCACTGCGAGAAAGGTATGGCGGGCAGGGGCGCCGGCGTCAGCACCCTGGAGAGCGCCCGCGGGCCTCGGTTCCGCTTCTGCGGTCTCTCTTTGGCGAATTGCTGACCTCTTCTAGAGCCCTGCCTGATGTGCTGCTCTGTTCTGTGTGTTTGGAGGCGAGCACCTCACTGTCGGGACGGTTCTGATCTGCACCAGTGCCAGGCCTGCTGGTCCTTACCTTGCCCTTCTCAAGATAGGCTTCATTGCCTTCTCAGCATTTTTCCAAATAGGTTTTAGAATCATTATATTAAATTTTATTTTAAAAATTTCCTTAGGATTTTTTTGCTCAATCTAATTCAGCATGGACAATGTCGAATTTTATTACATTTAGCCGCTTGAGAGTAGAAATGTCCTTCCGTAAGCACATTGCAGGCGTAGCTGTCCCCACCAGGCCCCACCCAGGACTGTCCCTTCCATGCAATTTGAAGCAACAGTCAGGACTCCCATCAGTGACCCCCAGACCTGTTTGGCATCTCAGTGGCCAGTGCCCAGAGGGGGCTGCCTGACCCCAGAGCGGCCCGGCACCGTCTCCGGGGGATTGGCCCCAGGCACCCCCGTAGCCTGGACTGGTGTGGAACCTCCCATGGCCCCTCCCCTGCTCTGTTTCTTGTCCCTGAGGGAAAGACCCTGAAGTCTGAGCCCTGGACCCCGTGGCTCCCCCAATCCCTGCAGCAGAGGTAGAACAGGTTTCCAAAGAGAAGACCCCAACTGCTTGGTTCTTTGCAAGCTCTGACAAGGTCTTTCTCTCTCAACACACTCCTAGGACCACCCTGAGGCCCTGCGTGGGCCCTGCCCAGAGCTGACTCTGGCCCTACTCCAGCTCACACCTGCCAGTGGCATGAGGTCCACTGCACCCAAGGGGTGTCCTACCAAAGCTGACATCTCCTCACTAGGCCAGACTGCCAGTACCCAGTGTCCCTGCCCCAACGGTTCTGTGCCCACTCCGGGAACTGCACAGCCCTCCCCCAGGGTCCCAGCTTCCGTGAGCACACGGGCCACCAATGTGGACACCTCTGACCCCAAAGGGAGTACAGAAGGGACAGGGATGGCTGTCCTCAGGGGTGGGGCAGCCAGAGCTTGGACGTGCAGCTTGGGAGGCCCCTGGGGGTAAGGGTTGGCGGGAGAGAAGCGAGCACAGTGGGGCAGGCCCCTCCTGCCGCTCAGAACCCAGATGTCCAAGGATTCGGAGTTCCTCGCTGGCCCTTTGACAGGGTGATTGGCAAGGTGGCAGGATAGATGTGCTGGTTTAGCAGATGCCTTTAAATACATGCTTAGCGTCTGAGTCCCTTGGGGGCCCAGGAACTGTTAGGACCCAGAGAAAATGTGGCAATGCCAGTGCAGGTACGGAACACACAGAAATCCAGATTGACTGCTGGGGACCCTGATGTCATGGCGCGTGAGACTCAGCCACTTCCTGTCAGACGGGGAATACCTGTGTGCAGGAGGGAGAAGTGCTGCACCTGCAGCAGTAGCCGGGCCGGTTCTCCACAGGGAGGGCCCAGCCATTGCCAGAGCCTGGGCAGGGAAGAGGACAGGCGAGCAAAGGGCCCACCTGAGGCTGAGTTGGGGTCTCTGGCCTGAGAGCCCCACCCCAGTCTCCCCCATGTGTGTGGACCTGCTTGGTCCCCTCTGCAGCCGGGCCCCAGGGCTCAGTCAAGAAGCAGGCCCGGCCTGCCAGGCCCCACCAGCACCAGAGGACTGAGAGGATGCCAGGAGGGTATAGTGGCTCTGTGGAGCCAGCAGCCTGGCCCCGTTCATCTGCCTCTCTGTCCTTCTACACAGCTCGGCCACACCTATGCAGCTCCGGGCCCTGCCGGAACGGGGGCACGTGCAAGGAGGCAGGCGGCGAGTACCACTGCAGCTGCCCCTACCGCTTCACCGGGAGGCACTGTGAGATCGGTGCGGCCCCCAGGGGCACGGGGGAGGGCAGGAGCAACGGGCCAGCCCTGAGCTGGGGCCCCTGACGCACCCTCCCTGCCAGCTGTGGGTCTGCTTCTCATGAAGAGGCCCCAGCTCTGGGATGTTGGGGAACCTGGGAGGGGCGGTGGGCTGCGACCCTTGACCTGGCTTCTGCTTCCAGGGAAGCCAGACTCATGCGCCTCTGGCCCCTGTCACAACGGCGGCACCTGCTTCCACTACATTGGCAAATACAAATGTGACTGCCCCCCAGGCTTCTCCGGGCGGCACTGCGAGATAGGTAAGGTGGGTGGGAGGCCAGACCAGGGCGGCCGGGGGAACCCTCTCTGCAGATGTGAAAACAGGCCCGTGGGCAGGGCTGGTCCAGGCCCTGGAGGCACAGGAGGTGGAGCTGGGCGCAGGAGGCAGGATGCCCCATGCAGTCCCGAGCCTTCAGGGAAGACATAGTGGCCAGGACCCTCCTGCATTCTGGCAGCCCCCTCCCCCTGCTTCCGGAGCCCGTGTGTGAATGGGGGCACCTGCGAGGACCGAGGCACGGATTTCTTCTGCCACTGCCAAGCAGGGTACACAGGACGCCGGTGCCAGGCAGGTGAGAGGGCTGGGGGGCCAAGTGGGGAGCATGGGATTTCTTGCTAATCCCTGCAGAGCTGAGCAGGGCAGGGATGGGAAGAAGGAAACACATATCACAGCAACCAGGCCCCAGAAGTCAGGGCACCTTTCCCTGGCGAAGGGCAGTGTGGGAGCAGGACGTCTCTGGGCCCTGCAGAGGGCAGAGGGCAGAGCGGTGGGGAGGGGCCGGGAAGGCACAGGACTGTGCAAGACAGGCTGCTGTGCCTTGCAGAGGTGGACTGTGGCCCCCCAGAGGAGGTGAAGCACGCCACACTGCGCTTCAACGGCACGCGGCTGGGCGCGGTGGCCCTGTATGCATGTGACCGCGGCTACAGCCTGAGCACCCCTAGCCGCATCCGGGTCTGTCAGCCACATGGTGTCTGGAGTGAGCCTCCGCAGTGCCTTGGTGATTCTGCGGGCCCTTGGGGTGGGGAAGGTGGGGCCCACACCCTCCTCCCCCTGGCCATGTGGAGGAGCACAGAGGCTGCAGGCCCAAGCAAGGATGCCCAGCTCTGACCTGGTCCTGCCCCTTCTCCCCTCAGTCTCCTGTCTGTGAATATGGACCGTGGGGTGACAGAGGTGATGATCACAGTCAACTTTGCTCTGGACCATTCACTAAAGGCTTCCCTGTCCTCAGAGCAGCCCGGAGCAGGGGGTCAAACACCCAAATACCCACTCTGCAGATGCAGTAGCTGAGGCCAAGAGGTAGCCCAGGGGCAGAGTCCTAAAGAGCCAGACACAGGTTCAGGACCCACCTCCTACTCCTGGCCCCTTGAAGACTTGTGGAATCAAAACAAGATCCCCCTACCCCCTGCAGCCATTTGAGGAGTGCATTGCCACCGAGGTCCCACCCTGGTCTGGCTTGGGAGCTGGGGGTGCACAGCCTAGAGACAAGGCCCCCCTGACCGAAGCCCCTGGAGAAGTAGGGCCATTAACACCCTACAGGTGCATCACATTACACCAGAGGAGTCCAAACTGTCCATCAGAAAGTCTGTGTGATGTGAGCTAGTTTTATGAAGTAAGGATTTTAAAACAAGCTTAGGAACAGTGGGTGACAGCACCCCCCCAGATTTGAGTGAGGCACATAAGCACATCACTGTCCCCCACATGCCCCGCAAACCCAAGGCCAACCTGCGTGGCCTCACTCAGGTGAAGGGTTCTGGGAACACCTGGCTTCAAGCATCCCTCCTTTCCTTCTGGGCTTTAAGCCCCAGGGTGAGCTCCTGACTGTCTTGGAGACCACCCCCCTCCCAGTGCTACTTCCCCTCCTGTATGTTGCCAGATGAAAAGCCGATATCCTCAGATAATATGAGCAACCAGCCAGGATATCAAGACACCTGAAAAGTACGATTGTCTCCAAAAAACAATAATAAAAGTCCAGAAAATATGTACGATTGGAAGCAGAATTGCAGAAGACAGACTTTAACATAGGAGGTCAAGACCAGCAAAGGCAACATAGGGAGACCTCATCTCTACAAAAAATTTTTAACATTAGCCGGGGAAACTGACATTAATACCAATGTTAGAAAAGAAAAAAATTTCAAACTTGATTAATTAAATGTCTGACTTGAGAAGTTAGGAAGAAAAATACCAAATGATGCTGAAAAAAGTAGAAGGAAAGAGGAATAAAGGTAAAAGCCATAATTAATGAAGTAGAGATCAAAGATACAAAAGAAAGGACAAGCCAAAATTAGTTCTTTGAAAAGCCTAATAAAGTCAGGAGTTCGAGACTAGCCTGGCCAACATAGTGAAACCCCATCTCTACTAAAATACAAAAATTAGCCAGGCGTGGTGGCGGGCACCTGCAGTCCCAGCCACTTGGGAACCTGAGACAGGAGAATCGCTTGAACCCGGGAGGCAGAGTTTGTGGTGAGCCACAATCATGCCACTGCACTCCAGCCTGGGCAACAAGAGTGAAACTCCGTCTCAAAAAAAAAAAAGGAAACAACAAAAAAAGGAAAAAAGTCTAGAACCAACCCAAAGACCCAGCCAATGAGAATGGGTGAAGTATGATGTAACCACACTGTGGAATGTTATTCGGTAGTGAAAATCTATGAACCACAGTGGCCTGCGATGTGGAGTTCTCTTCTGCATATAATGCTGAGAGAAGACAATATATATCATGATGTACTATGAATAAAGTTCCTAAACAACAAAAACACAGTCATTATTGTTTAGGCAATTTATAAAACTTTTAAAGCTAATTTTAGTTATTTTGCTGCCAGAAAACCTAATTTTTAAAAGATAAGGAAATGATAAACCCAGAAATATTTATCACAGGGGAAGAGGAGGGTGCAAGGTCAGATGAACCCATTCACCATTCTGGCTGCCAGGGCGGATGCTAGTGCCGGATGTCACTAAGTCACTACTGTTTATTTACTTTTTAAGCATGAAATTAAACTTTAAAAAAATAAACATTTAAATTCAGGAGCACAACTCCCACTTTAAAAGAAACCTGTGGTGAATCGTTTAGAACTAAGACTGGTCCCAGAGGTACTGGTTTCATAGGTGACTATTATACATTGAAATGGCAAGATGGGACATGAGACATTTTCTGCCAAACCCCTGAGGCCTTTGTCCTGTCGGCCTGAACCACTGGAATTAAGTCCCACAGCGTCTTCCGTGAGCCCTGGGGTGGTTGTGAGCCTGCCCTGTCACTTCATAGGCACAGCCAGGCACTGAGCCCCAGGCCCACTGCCCTGCTCCGACTCCAAGGATATCCAGCCCTGGTCTCTGGCCTTTCCAAGCACTGACGATGTATCATCGAATTCTCTCTGGCCCCTCAGAACTACTTTATGTGCATCTTAATTTGGCTTCATTGTGGCCACATTGCTTTACTCTTGGACTCTCTCCTCTCAGAAATTGATGAGTGCCGGTCTCAGCCGTGCCTGCATGGGGGCTCTTGCCAGGACCACGTCGCTGGGTACCTGTGCCTCTGCAGCACAGGCTACGAGGGCACCCACTGCGAGCTGGGTAAGAGGGGCCCTGGCCCTGCTGGGGTGGCAGCTCCAGCACACTGGCCATGTGCCTGAGGCAGTGGGTCCCCTGGAGAGGTCTCTGGATGGCTGGGGTGGCCACTGCATGCTCTCTCGGGCCCCTGCCAGCTCTGACATCCAAGACAAAGGTTTACAAACATCCCTTCCTGCACCTCCCCAGGGGAGACTGAGAGCCCAGCTGAGAAGTGCTGGCCTGGGCTCAGGGCGCAGAGAAGGTGGGTGTCGCAGAGGGCAGGTCACAGCCTCTGACGCCTGGTCGGTGCTGCCAGCCAGTGGAGGGAGGGGAGGCCTGCCCCGTGAGCCCTGCACACCCTTGTACCTTGCTAGGGCTCTTAAGCCTGAGAAAGAAACGCAGGCTCCAGGGAGGGCAGGCCCAGGGAGCCGTGCCCAGTCGTGGCCTTGGGGAGCCTCCCATTGCGGAGTGGCCTGGAGGAAGGCATGGCCTGGAGGTGGGGCTTTGCCAGCAGGCAGTGGAGGTGGCATGCCTCCCGACGAGGGGCGGTGTGGGGCTGATGGAAGAAAGCGCACATGTCCCGAGTAGTTACTCCCAGTTGGGGAAGGGGTGACCAAAGCCCCCAGGAATGCACAGAATCCTGGGGGCACGTAGGCGCCCCGGACCTAAGCCAGCAACACCCTTGACGCCCCTTCTCTGTGCAGAGAGGGATGAGTGCCGAGCTCACCTCTGCAGAAATGGAGGCTCCTGCAGGAATCTCCCGGGGGCCTATGTCTGCCAGTGCCCTGCAGGCTTCGTTGGAGTCCACTGTGAGACAGGTAGGGGCTCCCTCCAGTGGGCCCCACATGCAGAGCCTGGGCCTCTGGAAGATCAGAGAGGAGGTGGAGCATCCCCACATTCCCTGCTAGGCAGACCACCTGGGGAGAGGGACCCCCAGGGCTGCGGCCACCTTGGGAGGGAGGGGTGGAGGTGAGGGTGCTGGGGAGCGCTGAGGGGAGGGACCTGCCCACTGCCCCTCTCTCCTGGCCTCTGCCCCTAGACTCCTCCTTTCCCTTCTTCCCGCTGTCCTCTCCTCCCTCCCCCAGACTCCCCCCTTGCGGCTTGGGCCCACTCTCTGGGTGTTCTCCAGAGGTGGACGCCTGCGACTCCAGCCCCTGCCAGCACGGAGGCCGGTGTGAGAGTGGCGGCGGGGCCTACCTGTGCGTCTGCCCAGAGGGCTTCTTCGGCTACCACTGCGAGACAGGTAGGGCGGCAGGCCCGCCTGCTGCCCGCACTCTGCCCACCGCCTGGGAAGGCCCCTTCTCAGGCCGCAGGCCAGTGGCCCTCTGCCTGTCTCCCTTGGTCCCATGATGGTGCCTTCTAAACATCCCCATCTCCTGTGCTCACCCCACCCCCCGACACCCCTCTTCACCCAGGGACACGCCCATGGGTGGGGCCTCACATCACACACAGGCCCTGCTACCCTCGGACAGGCCAAGCTCATTGCACACCCAGGTCCCGCCCGTCGCTGTGTTTCTCTCTGGAACATTCTCCCTAATCAGCCCCCAGTGGGATACCTCCTGATGAGGCCTCCCTGACCACTGACCTCCCCTCCTCAAGCAGGACTGTCACTCTGGTGGTGACCTGGCCTGTCCTGGTCCAGTATCTCATCCCCTCAGCCAGTCCGGCTGACGGCACTCAGCTGTGGAGGGTGGAGGGGGCTGCTGGGTTGGACCCCACAGGGCAGTGGAGGTGACAGAACCGAAGGGAGGCAGTAGCTGTCCTGTGCCCCCCTCCCCTCCACACCCACACAGGAGGGACCCAGTGCCCCAGGAACAAGGGCGCGGTTGGAGCGGGGGCCCCTGGCCATACCCCAACACACACTGCTGCTTTTTCTTCCCTCAGCGAGTGACCCCTGCTTCTCCAGCCCCTGTGGGGGCCGTGGCTACTGCCTGGCCAGCAACGGCTCCCACAGCTGCACCTGCAAAGTGGGCTACACGGGCAAGGACTGTGCCAAAGGTGGGTGGCGAGGGTGCCTCTAGTGAGGGAGCCATGAGGGGGTCCCCTCACCCCAGAGGGCCCAACGGTCCCCAAGGGCAGAGCATCTGGCCGCTGCTTGCCCAGGCCCCTTCCCTGAGGAACAGGGAGGGGATAAAATCCCCCGGTGGGCTTGAAACACTGTCACACATGCAAAAGTGTGACCCTCCTGGAGGTACGTGGCCGGGGACAAAGAAGGACTCTGCCAGCGATGGCTGTGTTAGGCCCAAGAGCCGGACCCGGCTGAGCCGCCGATGGGAGCCAGGCGTGCACGGTTGACAGCTGACCAGTCCCCTCCCCTTGTTTTGACCCAAACCCTGAAGAGCTCTTCCCACCGACGGCCCTCAAGATGGAGAGAGTGGAGGAGAGTGGGGTCTCCATCTCCTGGAACCCGCCCGACGGCCCAGCCGCGAGGCAGATGCTTGATGGCTACGCGGTCACCTACGTCTCCTCCGATGGCTCCTACCGCCGCACGGACTTTGTGGACAGGACCCGCTCCTCGCACCAGCTCCGGGCCCTGGCGGCCGGCAGGGCCTACAACATCTCCGTCTTCTCAGTCAAGCGCAACACTAACAACAAGAATGACATCAGCAGGCCTGCCGTGCTGCTGGCCCGCACGCGTGAGTATCCCCAAGCCTGGCCGTCCCCGCCCAGCCCCTGCCCCTCAAGGGCAGCACTGGCCCCGGGCACCTGCAGGGCGGCTGTCGTGCCGTCCACCTCCCTAGTTCTCCCAGCAGCAAGACAGCCGAGCTGGGGGTTGGAGGCACCGCCCTGCTGCAGACAGAGCACTGGGGAGACAGAGCTGTTCGGGAGTGGCCTCGGGTCCACAAGATACAAGCGTGGGATTGGGGCGCATAGAATAGAGCCAAGAGTGGGAGCAGCACAACCCCCAGGCGTGGCGCTAGGAAGTGGGACTGGGGAGGAATGGGGGCTTCCCAAAAAGGTCCCTGGAAGGAGCCAGTGCGGGAGACAGGGGCCACGGGGGCGGGCTTGGATGGGCTGGGACTCTGGGGTGCTCTGAAGGCCTGGGGAGAGTTTGAGGGGCACCTGCTCCCAGGGATATGTAGGCACTGGGATGTGCTAAGAAGAGGCATCCGTGGCTAATCGGGAAGAGCCATGGGGCAGGCCCTAGATGGAAGGACAGACCCAGAGCCTCCACCTGGAGCTGGCACCGACAGCTGTGACCAGATGTGACCCCTGAAGAGGAGTCCTAGGGAGGAGCCCCCTGAGAGCCTGAGCCGCCAAGAAAGCAGGGGAGGCCTGGGTTGTGCACAGCCTGGGGGGTTGTTGCCACGTCGGGGAGCAGGAGATGCTGAGCGCTCTAGGGAAGGCGTCAGGGCTTAGCTGGCTTGTGTGCTGCTGGGAGGGATTCTGGGGAGGAGAAGGGAGCCCCGGAGCACGGCCGTGGACAGACAGGGGCAGGGCCGGTAGAAAGCAGAGGCTGGCCCTCCACTGAGCCCAGCCGCATCAGCTAGAGCACGGGGGATCTTGGTACAGGCTGGGCAGGAACCAAGGTGGGGTGCAGGGCCATGGGGCCATGGGACTCTCACCCAGCACACCTGTGGCTTTCAGACACAGGAACAAGAATGGGGAAGGGGTGCTAGAGGCTCGAGGAAAGAGGAAAAGGTGCTCAGAGCACAGACTGCTGCAAAGTGGCGTGACGGGTGGGTGGCCGGGGATTCATTGAGGCCTGAGTACCTGGCAGGGCCCCGCGGGGCGGCCATGTGAGTTCGGTGAAACCTACGGGTAGCGTGGTGGGAAGGCAGAGAGGAGCTCGGCGGCTGTCACAGGAGGAAGGCCTCCTGGCCACACCTGGGCCCCAGCTTGAGGCCAATGCCAAGGGCATTGAGGGATAGGCGGAGGCATCCAGGGCAGCTCGAGCCCACCCAGGGGCCCACAGGGGACTGTCCTGCAGGAGGTGACCACCAAGGGGCTGGAATTCCCAACACAGCAACGACACAGAGCACACCTCAGCCAGTGGGGAGCCTGGATGCACGTGTGGGTGGCACCGAGCAGGTGTCAAGAGGAGCTTCCAGGGACTGAGTAGGGGAGGCTCGCCTGGGCTGTTTTAGGAAGAAGCACCTGCGAGGCTGCCCCATGTGAGGTCTGCCCTCGGAAGGTATCTGGAGCGAAGGCGGAGCCCGCCGTGCCCGCTGCAGAGTGGGGGCTCCAGCCAGCCGTGGTGGGTGGAAGAGACCACTGTTCACAGACTGGGGTGCTGAGTTGCCGGGAGCCACGCGCTGCCCTCTGGGCTCTGCCTGGCGCATCAGCAGTGGCACTGGAGCTTTGGAGGAGACTGGCCAGGCGGGAAGCGGCCCCTGCCCTGCAGTCGCTGGGAGCTCTGTGCGTCCATCCTCCTCGGACGGTGTCACCCAGACCGGGCCCAGATGTGTGCTGTCAGACCAAAATAGTCGACTGGCGCAGAAAAGAGGGGAGGTCCGGGTCGCTCATGTCCAGAGGGACTCCGGCCCATCCCCCGCCATGTCACCGCCACATCTAAATGGAGGTTAAGACCCCTGCCTCTGGTAAAGCGGGATGGCCCACAGCGGGCTCCGCAGCCATCAGCCCTGGAGGCCAGGGCCTGGGCATCCCACTCAGCCCGAGTCCCCTGAGTAGCTGATGGAACACCCTCTCCAGAATCTCTCTGTGGCCCCCAGCACCCTCCCAAGCCTGGTCTCATCTTGAGCCCCTGCCCTCCCCCAGGAGCAAGGAGGGGCCAGCACCTGCTAAGTAGCCCATTCCCCCTAGGACCCCGGCCTGTGGAAGGCTTCGAGGTCACCAATGTGACGGCCAGCACCATCTCGGTGCAGTGGGCCCTGCACAGGATCCACCATGCCACCGTCAGTGGGGTCCGCGTGTCCATCCGCCACCCTGAGGCCCTCAGAGACCAGGCCACTGATGTGGAAAGGAGTGTGGACAGGTTCACCTTTGGGTGAGAGGGGACACCCAGAGCATGGGGCTGGGGCGAGGGCAGGGGTGGGGGCTCGGGGACACGGGGCCCAGGTCTCGGGCACATTCTCCGTGTGTGGACTGTGCACCTGCCGCTCCTCACCTGGGTGGAGGCAAAGGTCTCTCAGGTGAGCCAGCCTCTGACCCTGGAGGCCTCACTCCTGCCTCACCTCATCAGAGCTGCCAAGAGAGGATGCACCTTCGTAGTGTTTTAAAGTGTCCATAAAGAGCAGGAAAAGCTCTGAAAACCCAGGAGCACGCCTTCCACACAGATCATGAGAGTGACTTGGCCCCTCAGAGAGCAGCGGCCAGCGAGGGGAGATGGTAACAGCCCCCAGCTCTCCCGGAGTCCCACAGTGGACCCCTGTGATTTGGGCACCAGCCAGAGAGAAAGCTTCCGATTCGTGCTCAGCACAGGCAGGGGTGCCGGGAAAGACCGGAGAGCGAGTGGGAAGGAAGACGCCAGCCAGCAGCTTCCTGGGGCTGGGGCAGCATTGGCCTCACGTCCTGTGGTTTCCTGAGAATTTACATCAACTCACCTGCGCCGAGGGGCATCGGGCCTGCCTGTCCCCCGTCCCCGCACAGTGACCACTTCCCCCTTCTCTGGCCTCTCCCATCTGAACACCGGCCCTCTGACAATACTGTAGTGGCCCCAGGTGCACCCGATCCTCCGCCGCTTCCCAGACTATGTATGGGCTGGCTTCCCATCCTAGGAGCACACAGCTCTGAGGGCTGTGAGTGTGCCCCTCCTGGAGGTCGCCTGGGCCACCAGCAGCAGGACGACCTCCCGCCGGTCACCTCCTGACTGGGGGAGCTGCGGTCTGGTAGCTGAGTCACACACAGGTCCCAGACGTCCCTGTTCTCTCTCTGTCACCTCCTGCCCACAGGGCTCTGCTGCCTGGGAGGAGGTACACCATCCAGCTGACCACCCTCAGTGGGCTCAGGGGAGAGGAGCACCCCACGGAGAGCCTGGCCACCGCGCCAACACACGTGTGGACCCGTGAGTAGAGCGGCGCGGCCCCTGGCACACGAAAGGCCGTCTTCTAGAAGCTCTGGCTTCCTTCCAACCTCCCCTAGTCCTCTCCAAAGTGTCCCAACACCAGAAACCCAGCCCTGGCCTCCCGGACGTCTCTTCTGCTGGGGCCATTGAGCAGGGGCCACTGGGCAGGAGCCATTGGGCTGCGCTGGGCCCTTGTGCTGGGACAGCTCTCCAGGGCGGTCTCCATCTCTAAAGGCTCTTGGTAGCTCCTCAGCATGAAGTTCCTACTGGGCACTGACCAGAGGGTCAGAGGAACTCACTGGGCCAGGGATACCCACGCTGTCCAGGGCCCTTGCACCTTGCAACCAGCCCCCTCTAGCTAAGCTCCTGGTGTCACTAGGCCCACACCCCCTCCCCAGTGCATGGGAGGGGCGAGAGCACAGACAGTCAGCACACAGGGGAGGGACGGTGAACCGGGCAGAGGGGAGGCTGCAGCTCCCTCCGTGAGAAACAGAGGCTTGAGCAGGCCCCTGCCCACCTGTGCACTCAGATGCTGCCCGCCTGGGAAGGCACAGGAAAGGCTGGTGGGGTAGGGGAGTCTGCCCAGGGCTCTGCGCAGCCAGGCTCAGGGGAACCGACAGTGCTGCAGGGAGGGCGCCAGCTGACGGGACAGGGCCTGGGGGCTTCGCAGGGTGAATCCTAACCCGAGGGGAGGGTGGCATCGGGGGCCTGCAGGCCTCTTGGTTGGGAGATGCTGCCGTGCGTGCTAGCCCACACCCCGCCTCGGTGCTGTGCCGTTCTCCATAATAAAGAACCTGGCTTCCAGCAAGGCTGCGGCAGCCCCTGTCAGGTTCTCAAACTGTGTTCTCACCAGAAGACCCTGTGGGCACCCCCTCACCTCTCCCTGCTCCTGCCTCGTCCAGGGCCCCTGCCTCCAGCAAACCTGACGGCCGCCCGAGTCACGGCCACCTCTGCCCACGTGGTCTGGGATGCCCCGACTCCAGGCAGCTTGCTGGAGGCTTATGTCATCAATGTGACCACCAGCCAGAGCACCAAGAGCCGCTACGTCCCCAATGGGAAGCTGGCGTCCTACACAGTGCGCGACCTGCTGCCGGGACGGCGGTACCAGCTCTCCGTGACAGCCGTGCAGGGCACGGAGCTCGGGCCACTGCACAGCGAGCCCGCCCACCTCTACATCATCACCTGTGAGTGCCGCAGGCCCTGCTCTTGGGTGGGGCAGTGTTTGCCAGCCCTCCACCCTGTTCAGGACTGATCTGGCCCAGCAGGGGCCTGGGATGCCAGGCGGACAGCCTAGAAACAGGACCGTGCTAGCAGGGGAGGAGTCTGTGTATGAAAGGGGAGGCTTTTCAAACCCACGAGGAGAGGAAGGACTCATGGGCGGGTGGCACCAACAACTGGAATAAGAAGCACATGGAGCCTCAGCTTGTGCCGGACCCCCCCCCACCCACCGTAGATCCCAGACAGGCTGAGCATCACCTGAAAACGGGTGCCGAGGGTGGCAGCGAGGAGGAAGCCCCCGGAAGTGGCCGTGCAGCCCAGGCCTGACCCATGAGGGGCCGCTGGACACAAACAAAGGGCCAGGAGGCCACGGGCAGGGGCCTGCAAGGAGCAGGAATGCTGGGGCGCAGAGGCACAGCCGCTCAGAGTGGGGACAGAGGCTCTGAAGGGCTCGGGTCTGCTCCCAAGTGCAGAGGTGGCCCTTCCAGTCTCCACCAGGGTCCTGAATGCCCCACTTAGGTCTTCCAAGTTCACAGAAGGAGCTGTGGGAAAATGCAGAAGCAGAACAGAGAGAGAAGAGAGAGACGGAAACAAGCAGGGAGGAGTAGCCACGGTCGGACAGAGCAGAGCAGGGGGCGGCTCCCCAGGGAAAAGGGGGCTCCGACCCCAGGCTCCTCCCCAACCCGTGAGGCTGTGCTGGGGACACGAAGTACATGAGTTTGGCGAGTTCTCAGACCCAATCCTGCCACCCCCACCAGCTTGGGGCCAAGCCCACCAGCCAGGTGGAAGGGGCAGGCTGGGACCTCCGTGAGCCGGCCTCAGTGTGAGAGAGAAGGGGGGCTCCAGGGAAGGAGGACCCAGCCTAGGAGGCTGAAGGACACTGTTAGGGTGACAGGTTGCGCCCTCACTCTCAGGGCACATGCTGAAGTGTCCCATCCAGAGGCCAAATGGGGAGAACAAGTGTGTCTCCAGGGCAGCCTGGGACCTGAGTCCTAGCTGGACGGCCCAGCCCCTTTTGAGTGACAGGGGCAGGGGCCTACACTCAGCCCCTGCCTCACGACTCCCAGGCCAGTGCATGCCTTTGTCGTGGCTGTGTGTGGCTCCTGCTCAGCAGCGATGTGGCGGGTGGGCTGGAAGGGAACCCAGGGCATCTGGGGAAGCCGCAAGCACCTTGGATGACCACAGCTCACTCACACACCCCCCTTCCCTTCTCCAAGCACAGCTGAGTGTGAGGGGCACCTCCCATGCCACAGGGGCAGGGACAGGAGCAGAGGGCAGCCCCAGACCAGCCCCTTCCTCCTGCCTGCTCTGCAGCCCCCAGGGATGGCGCTGACAGACGCTGGCACCAGGGAGGACACCACCCTCGGGTGCTCAGGAACAGACCGCCCCCAGCGCGCCTGCCAGAGCTGCGCCTGCTGAATGACCACAGCGCCCCCGAGACCCCCACCCAGCCCCCCAGGTACATGCCCCACCTGTCGGCCCCATCGCCTGAGGCGGCGCTCGGACGGCGGTGACCCTTTCACCCTCTCCGCAGGTTCTCGGAGCTTGTGGACGGCAGAGGAAGAGTGAGCGCCAGGTTCGGCAGCTCACCCAGCAAAGCAGCCACCGTGAGATCACGTGAGTGCCGGGGCCTCCCCACCCACCTCAGTGGCCAACCCTCGTCCTCGCTGCCACTCTTACCAGCCCCTGCCCCCTACATGATGAGCCCGCCCCCACTGCCCAGCGCAGTCTCCAGCCAGGGACGCATGCATCTCCGTGGCGGGAGGGGCGGCTCGTGAGGGCCTCACGTCAGTGTGTGGGCTGGAGGCACAGGCTGCTGGCAGGGCACGCGAGAGAAGATAAACATTTTAGAAGCAGGTCTGAGACGTTACAGCAGCTTTGTTTGCCAAAGTAGGGCTCTGAGCTTTGTTTTAGTAAAGCCATGGGCAGGAGGCCACGAGGGTCTAACCTGCCACTCGGAGTGTGGTCCAGCAGATCCTCCGCCACTGTCCTGGCAAGATCTTCCCGGCGGCAGCAAGGCCGATGGGGGGCCCAGGTGCCTTGGCCCCTTCCCACCCGCTTTACCAGGTGAGGGCTGCTCCGGGAATCTACCTGTGATTCTGACACAGAAGCCCTGAGATATGCTGGCAGGCGTGAGGCAGGCACCACCCTGCCCTAGAGGGCACCTCTCTGGCCCTTGCCTCTCACCTGGAAGGCCAGGTGCTCATCCTCCTGGAATCCCCCAGCAGAGCCGAGTCACCAGTTTAATGAACACAGAACTGAACAAAGACTCCCCAGGCAGGGGAGGGAGGGGACGCAGCAGGGAGACTGGCAAGGAGGGACCAGAGCCCTGGGGTCGCTGCCGCATGGCGAGCGGGGGAGAGAGCCCCGGCAAGGTGTCTGGGGAGAGGGCAGGCAGCTGCCTGGGATGCCCAGTGGTGGGCAGGTGAGATCTGGAGTACAGAGCGGGGGCCCGTTGTACTTGCAGGTATGGAAGCAGATATCAAATGCCCAAGGGTGCGGTTGAGAACCCTGCACAGAAGTGATGCAATTGGGGGCAAGGGCATGGGGAAGGTCAGCAGAGGCTGAGGGCAGATCGGGAGAGCAGGGGGTGCCGTAGCCCTCCAAGAAGTAGGGGGTGGAAGGAGAGGAATGCAGAATTTGACCCTAAGAAGAAAGCGACCGCATGAGCCGTGAGGATGGGGCCTCTCGGCATGATCACTGGTGGCTGCCCCTGAAGCAGCTCTGAGGGGCCCTGCAAGTGGAAAGCCCAGCCCCTCCAGAGGGTCAGCAGGAGCGCAAGGGCCAGCCCTTCAGGGGAGGCAGTGCTGGGGCTGACAGGCACCGGGCCATGCAGGGAGCCTGGTCCCCACCAGGGACATCCGTGCTCCCTAAGGTATAGAAGCACTCAAAAGGGTGGCCCCAGGACCATCCGGGTCAAAAGGGTGGCCCCAGGACCATCCGGGTGCAAAGCAGCTGCGCCATGTGGTCACCGCCTGGCTTCTCCTAGAACCCACAGCCTCAGCGCAGCTCGAGCACACCGAGGAAGCCCCCAAGCAGGTCAGCCTGGCCCTCCAGCTCCCTGAACACGGCAACAAGGACCTCGGGAGTAAGTTGGCAGTGCTGGTGGGGACTTTGGGACTGACTGCTCTCAGGGGCCTTAGAGGCTGCAGGCAGGAGGGACCATCCACAGTGAGGAACCTAAGGGGAGGCTGAGCACCAGGCACCCCAGTGTGGGAAGATGGGGGGAAGCTACCACCCAAGCAGTGGGACCCCATCGACGGGAACAGGCCAGGGGGCAAGACCCACCCAAACCACCCAGGGTCTGAGCTGGAGAGACTGGCTTTGCCGCTGCCTCCCCTCCCCTCCCCTCCCCTCCCCTCCCCTCCTCTCCCCTCCTTCGCCTCCACATGCAACAGAGCCCACCCCAGCCCCTGCCTCTGGGCCCCACACCCCTCGCTTCTCCGAAGAGGAGCAGGTGGAGTCAGGAGGGGAAGGGAGCAGCCACTGGGCGAGCCCCAGCTCGAGGACCAGCTGGGCCCTGTGGACACTCAGGTTATGCAGGACCTGAACTGTCTCCTAGTCCGGGGCTCTGCCTCGTGAGAACTGAGGCCAGCACGTCCCTGCGGGGCGCCGAGCATCTGCTCAGCACCTGCAGTAAGAGTTCCCGGAAGCTCACGAGGCAGCTCCCCGTTAGGCAGCACTAATGCATGTGTGTTCCTCAGCCTGAGTCAGACTCTGCCTTTCTCTGGGTTTTAATGCTTGGGGGCTGTGTCCTCTATGAACAGCTCTCCTAGCACCCGGTGACCCGTCCTCCCCTGAGTCACACCACAGACTGAGATTGGGATCACCCCTCAACCCAGCCCCAAAGAAGGCCTAGTACTTGGTAAAGGTGTGAGCCACTGAGCATGGTCTCACCAGCAAGGCCCTGCCCTCAGCTTCTCAAGGACATCTGTACCCATCAAGGGCACCTGCAGTGCCAGAGGGTGCGTTTGCAGGTGGCAGTTTCGCTGAACCCTAAGTTCACATTCACCATATGAGGTCCGGACTCACTGCTAGCCCCTGTGAGCACCAGGAGGACTGGCTTGTGCATCCGACGCAGTGAGTGAAGGATTCTCTTAACTAAGGTGTGGACCTTTAAGGGAACTAAAACGAACCTTTCATCAGATGGTTCGCATTGTGTCAGACCCTCTAAATAGCAGGTGTTCATCTCCTAGAACTCAGAACTTAGAGGGGCACGTGTTACTCCCCTGGGTCTCTTCGGCAGGAGAGATTCAGGATGACCCCCAGGCTGGCCCCGAGGTCACTGCACTCATGTGTTTGCCGGCATGAGATGCTCATGCTCTGGTGGGTGCAAAATGATTTTAAGTGATAACATGAAAAGTTGAATCTTTAACGGCCCCTCGATGTGCAAAGCTAGATCTTTGATTCATGTTGCACTCTCACACTAGCTACCTTTCATTTAATTAGTCTTTGAATAATGACTTTAAATCAAGAACCCAGCCTATACACTTGAATGTGAACAACACCTTCTATCTTTTTTGCCGCCATACTCCCTGTTCTCTCCCCTCGGTTAACCATGATCGTGAACTTGGTGCTTAGAATTCCTTTGTTTTCTTCAGAGTGGAAGGTGGGGAAACATATATTTTTTCGGACATATATGTGTGGCAGAACAATAAGTGAGTTTTCTTTGCTAGATAATTATCTTGCCGTGTGTGATCGTTAGACCTGTGTTTTCACTCCGCATTCTCGGACGGAGGTTGGCCCATGCGGTCTGGGCGGCTGTGGCTTGTTCACACCCACTGTTGAGCACAGAGTCCACTGAGTGAATTGACCGGCTTTTCTCCCCTCTCTGTGCAGAGAACATGTAGGTTGTGTTTGGTATGAGCGGAGCTGCAGTGGATGTTCGTGTACAGGTTTTCCAGTACGTGTGTGAGAGTGGAAGTGCTGGATCTAGGATGAGGATGTGTGAACGCCCGAATTACACGAGAACACTAAGTCATTTTCTAAGAGGCGATAGCAGTCTGCTCTCCCTCCAGCAGTGATGAAGCAAAGCAGTGAATCCAGTCTCTCTAGAACTAGGTTTCGCCAGGTTTGCAGATCCTGCAGGCAGAACGGGTGTGACGCAACCCCTGGGATCTGGGTTTGCACCTCCTGAGCACTGATGTGACAGAGCCTGTCTTCCTGGGCATCCACCAAAGGTGTCTGCTTCTGTGAAATGCCTGGTCACACCTTTTGACTTTTTGTTGGGTTATTTGTACTCTTCTTATTCATCTGTCAAAATTCTTACATGTTTTGATACTGATCCTTTGTCAGCTCTGTGTTCTGCAGTTATCTTCTTCCAGCCTCTGGCTTGTCCTTCCCTATTCTTGGTGGTATTTCTTTTTTTTTTTTTTTTTGAGACGGAGTCTCGCTCTGTCGCCCAGGCTGGAGTGCAGTGGCCGGATCTCAGCTCACTGCAAGCTCCGCCTCCCGGGTTCACGCCATTCTCCTGCCTCAGCCTCCCGAGTAGCTGGGACTACAGGCGCCCGCCACCTCGCCCGGCTAGTTTTTTGTATTTTTTTTTAGTAGAGACGGGATTTCACCATGTTAGCCAGGATGGTCTCGATCTTCTGACCTTGTGATCCACCCGTCTCGGCCTCCCAAAGTGCTGGGATTACAGGCTTGAGCCACCGCGCCCGGCCTGGTGGTATTTCTTAATAGAGAAAAGTTCATAATCAAATTTATCAAGCATTAGTGGTTAACAACTTGGGAGCCTTCTTTAAAAAGTATCCTTCCCCACCCAAAGTTAGAAGATTATTCATGTATATTTTTTTCTCAAAGATTGAAAGTTTTGCTTTTGACATGTAAGTCATTAATCTATCTGAAGTAGACTGTGTGTGTGAGAGAAACTGGGCTGCAATTTCATTTTTTACGCCTATGGGTAAACTGGATTTTTCATCTCTTCATGCTAAAAAGTCCCTTTTTCCCCCACTGTCAGTATCAAAATTCCACATATAAAAGTAGAATTCTGGCTGTGTCAATTTGATACTTCTATGCCAATACTGCTCTGGGTTCACTCTAACTTTGTAAGTTCTGGAACTGACTGGGAAAATTCCTGTTCTTTACTCTTCATCTTCAGAAGTATCATTGCTACCCTTGGCCTTTTTTCTTCCACATATACACCTTCAAATCTTCCAGCCACACTCAGTGGAAAAGGCCTTTGAGATAATGACTGAGTGTGCACGGAATCCATTGACCATTTTTGTGAAAACTGACATCTTTAGGATAATAAGTCTGTATCCATGGACATGGGATATCTCTCCATATATGACATTATGACTTAATATCTTTCAGTAAAGTTTTATATGGAATTCAGATTTATTCCTAGATATTTTATAGTTTGATACTATTATATAGTTTGATACTAGTATACACTTTAAAAAATTACTTTTCCTGATTATTTATTACTGGAGTATAGATATTTATTTGACCTTTGCATATTGACCTTATAGCCAACCATCTTGCCAAACTCTCCTATTCTTGTCATCCACTCTTTGGGGTTTTCTATATATATAATCATATCCTTTTTTTTTTTTTTTTTTCCGAGACGGAGTCTCGCTCTGTCGCCCGGGCTGGAGTACAGTGGCCGGATCTCAGCTCACTGCAAGCTCCGCCTCCCGGGTTTATGCCATTCTCCTGCCTCAGCCTCCCCAGTAGGGACTACAGGCGCCCACCACCTCGCCCAGCTAGGTTTTTTTTGTATTTTTTAGTAGAGACGGGGTTTCACCGTGTTAGCCAGGATGGTCTCGATCTCCTGACCTCGTGATCCGCCCGTCTTGGCCTCCCAAAGTGCTGGGATTACAGGCTTGAGCCACTGCGCCCGGCCTATAATCATATCCTTTTAAAGGTTGTTTGCCTTTTAAAACTCAGACCTGCTCACACCTGTAATCCCAGCACTTTGGGAGGCCTAGGCAGATGAATCACTTGAGGCCAGGAAGGAGTTCAAGGCTAGCCTGGCCAACATGACGAAACCTGTTTCTACTAAAAATACAAAAATTAGCTGGGCATGGTGGCGCATGCCTGTAATCCCAGCTACTCAGGAGGTTGAGGCATAAGAATCCCTTGAACCTGGGAGGCAGAGGTTTCAGTGAGCTGTGATCACGCCACTGCACTCCAGCCTGGGTGGCAGCACAAGACCCTGTCTCAAACATATAAAAATAAATTAAAACCCAGACCTACAACTCACCTGATTTTTGTATAAAGTAGCAGTTAGTTCTTTTTCTTATGCAGACTCATTATCTCCCCACAGCTCTGCAGTGCCAGCTGTGCTGTCAATCTGGTGTTCACATATGCACGGGTCTGTTTCTGGGTTAACTCCTCTGTTCTGTTGTTTTACCTTCTTTGAGCCAATAGCAACTACTTTAATGATGGCAGCTTTGGTGCTACTTGCTATGCTAGGGGCCCGGAGTCCTCCCAACTTGACCATTAAGAGCGTCTCACCTGTTCTCAGTCCTTTGCTTGCCTATTAAAGTTTAGGATCAGCTTGTCAAGTTCCACAAAGCACTTGTTGGGACTTTAAATGACCAAACCTCTGAGGCCCTGTGTGCCTGTGAAAATTCTTGTTAGCCTGCACATCTGAAGGACAGTTTGGATGGATCTAAAATTCTGGGTTTGAATTCCCTTCTTGTTCATTTCTTCAAATATTAGTCCATTGTCATCTGTGTCCAGTATCGCTGTCATCGTTGTTAACTGTTATTTCCGGGTAGGATAATCTCATTCTCCCTGGAAGCTGTTAGACTTTATTTTTCTCAAGAAAAGGAGGATTCCCCAGGGAGTCCCATGTATCCCCTAAAGCACAATTAACACTCCTGATTGGTGTTTCCTCACCAAGCAACTATCCAAGTCAGGGCTGTACCTCAAGCCCGAGGGAGAATCTCATGGAGAGGAGGCAGGTTCTCGAGATTGTAGCTGGTCGTCCTAGAGGTTTGGAGGGGCAGAAGCAAAGGAGTGGGTGCTGAAACTAGTCAGATTATTCCTGTTTTCCCCAACTTCTCACCCCAGCAGGGCTCTTGGACTAGCTTGGTTTTATCCCCCTAGATAGCTGCACCAGTGGTTTGGGTGGCCGCC